TCCAACCAAAATTCATCGAACCAAAAGTGCCGGGACAAGAATGGTGGCTATTTTTTTCATGAAATACGGTTTAACTAAGTCTGTTCCATTAGAAACAGGTGCAACAATGAACGCAAGCTGGTATGTCAATACATGCTTACCATAAGTCTTCAAAGCTGTATCTGAACGAAGAGAAACACGAGGTCTTCGAGGTCTCATCTTTCACGACGATAATGCAAGGCCGCATCGAGCTAGGATTACGAACGGATTTTTTTGCTGGAAAATCATGTAGAACAGTATCCAAATCCCCCATATTCTCCAGATTTAAGTCCTTGTGACTTCTTCTTATTCCCGAAGCTCAAGAATCAGTTACATGGTATTCGGCTTAACGACGACAACGAAATGTTAACTGCTTTACAACAAGCCATTGACAGTCTCACGAAAGAAGACTTTAAAAACTGTTTCGAAGACTGGCTTATTCGAATGCATAAATGCATTGATACTGAAGAACAGTACTTTGAAAAAATAAATTAAAATCCTCCTCTGAATATTTATCCTAAAGGCTAGTGAAAAAACTTTTGTAGTGCTGCACGTAGTTATACAGTTTCATGTATTTACTATGTATTACAGGCCATTTGGACTTCCTAAAGTTCTTTGGACTATAATAAAATCAAAAACTTACACTCTATTTAGTAAAAAGATTAGCACTGATCAATAATGCAGTTATTTGCTCAGATTTTTCCGAAACTTCAATTCAAGTTTTAATTTGTTATTTAGTAAAGCATGTCATCATCTATCTTCAGTGGATGCGCAAGATGCACACGTAAAGCCTTGCTGAGATATTGAGTCTCAAATGTAACCGTCTATCCAAATTCGTTGACGATTTTATATTGACCATTTCACTTTAAAATCGATTCTTTAACTCTTTCTTAGCAATTAAATATATGAGAAAATCATGCATAGGTTCCCGTGTAAGACGTATACCCTCAAACAAAAATCTTTCCCCTTTTTATCTTTTTACGATGTCAAACTTTGTTTTAAATTGTTTTACTGAGTAGAAATATGACATGAAAATTTTATGTCATGTTGATGTACAGATTACACGAATAAAACTCTCATGTTATGGGGTGAGTGTGGATGTGGATGGCAGTATGAATGAAAACAAGACCTTCAGAAGAATATCCAAGCTCCATAGTCACATGCACATACCGATTAAAACGCGTCGAGTTGCATTGAACGGTGTAAGATTCCTGCATGATTTAGACCCATGGGCGAATTAGGATAGAAAAAGTCAGTCTAAATGGAGTTTTTCATGATTTAAGGGATCCTTCACCTCAGTGAAGCGTCTTTTAGAGATTGAGTCTCTTGCTACTCAACAGAGCTTGTCGAGCTGCATGCAATGATATACGATTTATGAATGAGATATATTCTCAGGCGAGTTTGTACCGATAGAATGATATTGTGATATATGTGAAAATGGACATAGACTGAAAATTTATTAATCAACCTCAAATATTAGTCGCTATGGAATCCATGACTACCATTGAGTAGATTTCATCGAGTTGGACCTGGCTTACGGCATTTCATTTACATCTTTGAGTATGGAGGGAATCGACATTGAAAAAAAACGCGAACATAAAATGGTATTAAAAAGATATAGACTTTCTGCTACTTTCTAAAAAGCAGTACGTAAAAGAACCATTGATGATTTTGGCGAAGATGCTGAGCTTTTCAATGTTTCATTCGTTTATTAATAAACCATCAAGGGTTCTAGATAATTTAAAGAACCATGCTAGACAAAAAATGGTTTCAGCGTTTGAAAGAGTTCTACCTCTAATCCTTCTTTTTATGCTGAACTTCTTTTATGAACACGACTCTCGCGCAAGTCACTCGAACTAATTTGGATCATTTTTGGAAAGCGATTTCAGGGAGGATCCATGAGACCATTGAATATTAGAGACACTCGACAAACAAAGCTTTTTCGATTTCTTTGCATTCGAACTATCAATGTCTGAAACTACCTATCTAAAAATTTTAACTCATGATAGCCTTCTGGTGAAAAATTAGCCAATACCGGCTTTTAGTATTATCCTACTTTTATGAGAAAAGAAATAGAAAAAATTACTCTATAAAAGTCATGCCTGCTTTGTGTTTCACCAGAGAATACAAATATTTGATGGAATATACATAGAGAAGTGAAACCTGAACCGAATGAGCTATTTGGATAGTACATCGGATCTAATGACTCGTGTTTTATATGGCCAACATAACTCAAAAGAGGATGTGGATGTTCATTGCAATAGTACCCACGATCTTCATACTCATATCCACACACCAATTCATACTCACAGCCACACTCTAGTCGGTATTGGCCAATGTTTCAAAGAAGGTCTATTAGAAGCTAAAATTTTCAGGTCTGGAGCTTCAGACATTGATGGTTCGATTGAAAAAAAATCGAAAAAGCCTTTTTGTCGAGTGCCTCGTATACTGGTCTGATACTCGGCACGCAAATGGATTCTTTCTTAAATAACGTAAATATGGCGTAGCTTTATATACGTATCTCACAATAACAATAAAAAGCAGGTGACATTAGAGTAAGGACAGTTCGCTAAAAGTTCCGATCTGATGAACTGTTCTACACTTTCTCTGATAGAAGCTGATCGGTTAGTATCGTTCAATTCATATCAGAAGAACTGTTTAAACAGAACTCCTCATCTGAGCTTCTATTACCAAACTGATGGCGTTGAGGTTAATAAGATACCAATAAGTTTACAAGGGCTATTAAAAGGTGGACCCTGCACTTTTCATGGATTATGTAGCAGATATTGCAGGTAAGCCACGATCACCTCCATCAGAACGTTGCTCAATCGGTCTTACCGATTTGTCTGATGTTTATAAGGTAGATATATACATTTAAGTTATGAATAAACTGAAAGTTTTAGCTAAAATGGATGAGTCATTCAGGAGATGCTGATGTTGTATGCATAGCTACAGTGCTAAATTTCAAGCATTTTCTCTTATAACACTTTTCAGTAAAGTTTTATTTTATAAGTAACTAAGAGGGTCATGGAAGACATTTTTTTAACACATATACTATGAACCATGGGTTATCTTTTCATGCTAATGAAAATACCTTATCATCTGATATTTTTCGTCTGGGGCCATATGCTATTTCTAGAGAGTGTGACCACGATAAAAACTTAAACTGATCGAATCAGTGTGATAGAATGGTTTGAAAGTAGTCTCATTTGAAAGAGCACATCAGAATGCATAGAATGACGTTTTCGAAAATTTGGTATCTCGAAATTTAGTATGAAAAGTCTTTTGAATAAGATTAGTGCTATGTGTGTGTTATTCAACAGGTTTCTTTCTGTTGTTGGCATGCTTCGTATAAGTTACTCACCCCAACGAAATCAACAAAATCCACTAAATGGAAAAAAATTTCGTATCCCGCACCTGTTAATTACAATAAGCGTTGTGCACATAATAGTATTTGCCTGTTTTGTCAAATGATTTCTCTTTTTTCTTACCTTGGCATCAAGGTAACTTCATACATTTCTTGCCATTCATTTTCTTGTTTCTTGTTTCTTTTTCTTTCTTTTTCTTTCTTTTTCGATTTTTTTTCAATAATATACTCTATAAAGAATGAATGCAGGTACGACGCGCACAGAAAGTTACACTTCACGAAAATTATGCAGGAAATTATGTGCTTCAATTATTTTGACATATTGAATTTTTCAAAGGAAACAATAAGAAAATATATTTTTACCTTAAACTACAGGGTGCCTCAAAAATATAAGACCCCGCACCCATTGATTTTTGAGAACAATAAAGATTTCTTTAACTAAAGAAGATTTCATTCCCAATCTAATTTCATATCCATGGACACATAGTAGTAGTCCATCATATACCATATTGTTTTGAATTCGATCAATTAGCATTAATGAGTGAATTCAAAAACTTGTGAGTCTCCCCTGTTTCATAATTATAGGACTCCCCTCTAAATATAAAAATATTGAATTAATGCTAACTGTACCAATTCAAATGACTGTTTTGAGGATCCATTCGAAAGAAGAGACACTCAGCTATATGCTGAAAAAAATAGATTGGTGAAGAATAATCTAGCTTTCCTATCGTTTAAGAAATTATATGGTAGAAAAGTTAAATCTCACAACTATCACTATGTAGTGGGAGAAAAAAAAATTCGCTTCTTAAATGTAACGTATACGATTAGATAGAGTATCAAAAGTTGCATAGACTATATATGTTTTGACAAAAGACTCTCAAGCTCTTAGTAATTTTAAAAAGATGTTCGAAATAATTTCTTTCTAGAGATTATGTGAAAAACGTCTGTCTTCGTAAGAAAAGTCTCTGATTTCACATAAAAAAAGGATATCTTTCTTTTTCCAAGGGTATCAACAGAAAGAGCATCAAATTCTGCACAAGATAGGCTATTTTTACGTTTTCATATATTAGCTCAAAAGAATATGAAAACGTGGTCTCACAAAGTAGACAAAACGATGTCTTATTCCACTGGGAAAGAAGATATATTGGCGACATTCGAAAAAGCCATCTTTTCAAGTTTTTTGAAATTAACTTCTGACAAAGAAAAATAGCCTGTCTTATGCAGAATTTAACGCTCTTTCTGTTGGTGCTCTTGAAAGAATTTTTATTTTTATTTTTCAAGCGGGAACAGATGTATTTATGATGATTTTCATAGATATTATAAGATCTCATTAAACTTAAAGTGCTATATTTTAAGAATAAATCATATTCGTCTATTCATGTCTTGCAGATATAGGCATGTCTATGTAACATATCTTCTTCTAGCCCATAATCTTTTCCTTTTGTATGTGCTAGATTTGATAAAGATAAGCAAGTAGAGTGTCATAAGTATAAGGTTTCTTTTACACTATATTTATTTTCAATTATTTTGACTATTTTCAAATCATATAAATATAAGAAAACAGAAATCAAATAAGTATAACAAAATCTAAATCATATACCAATTAAAAACAAAATTATGAATTACACGATAAACCTTTTCGTTTTATGACTTCTTTCAAACGATTGTTTATTGATTTATAAAGTTTTTGAATAGTATCAATTAATATATCATTCCATATTGTATTCATAGCTGCTTTTAAATCGTCAACGTTTTTAAGTAAATATTTTAACAATTTCTTGTCCACAATTGACCATATGTTTTCGATCAAGTTGAGATCGGTCGAACTAGCCTGCCATTCTAATATAGTAATATGAGGTTTTTTTATATATTCTTGTGTCTTTCTTGATACATGATGTCTTGCATTATCTTGTTGAAACATTTTTTTATCGCGATAACGTTTTGGAAAAAGACTGTATGCTGATTTTAAATGTGTATCCAGTATATTAATGTATTCTGAGGAATTAAGACGACCATCATAAAATATTAAATCACCTAAACCATAATTCGACAAACATGACCATACACCAAGACCGCCACCTTTATGAGTACGTGGTTGAGAACGTTCAAAACGTCTTGGATCATGACGGTAACGACGAACATACACATTAATTCGATTGTTGACAAACATAACTATCGATGTTCAATCTCATCTAGAAACATTACTTTGGCTAGAAAGCTACAGAATTCATGCATTGGCCAATAAGGTATATTCCTTCAACAAGTTGAAGTCGTCGACAAATTTTATTGTAGCTACGTTTTTTTCAACTAATATAGCGATAGATGCGTGCACTTAATGTTAATTTGTTTCAACTTTCTGATGATTTGGTTATATATATGTGTGATATGATTGCATCGAATTTATTTTCATTCTTGGCAATCGATGATGATATAGTGTCAAATACAATTTCGGAAATTCATACTCGATTTGTTGTTTCATTACTTTTGACTTCAGACAATTTACTAAATTATAATAATGAAATACGACAAGTAGCAATTACTGCTCTTATAAATTTATTCGAGGTATCTAATAAAAATGAAATTCGTCAAGCAGTAGCGTATGCTCTTGGCTATGTTTGCGATGAACTAACATATAAAAGTTTATTTGAAAAAATTATATTCGTAATGAGCAGCGTATGTGATGAAACTTCTGCTTATTCTAATAATATTTTGAGTGTATTAATTTCAAGTTATTGCCATTGTGTATCTATAAACAAAGTTGCATTTGATCAAGATGATTTGAATTTATTTTGTATTTTGTTAAGACATGACTCTCAGGATATTTCAAAAGCAGCTTGTACAGAACTTGGCCGTGTTTTTCAAGATACGCCATTTTTACTTGGAATGCTTGGTCTGGATTATGTGCAGTGCTACCATACATTGATCGGATCAACAGCATTCTTATATCTTTATGATGTTCAACAAAATCGTAAAAATGCTATCGCAAAGTTTATTGAAGAGCAACCCACGCTTTTGTCAATCTTTTTAGTCGAATCATACAATAGCATACGTGGCTTTCCTAATAGAGCACTACAGATGGCAGACATAGATTTATATTTAGCCTATGAATATCCTCCATATATGAACATTGTTAATTTAATCGCTATACGTATGCCAACAGTGTTTTGTGCTTTTATCAAAGATTGGTGTGATGGAGATAATTTGAAACGTGCATTGTTTTATGCCAGTAAATAAAATAATTTTCCACAGCGTGCTGCTTGTTTAACAATTCTATCATTGTTGGGTGAGTTAACAGTCGATTTATGTGAGATATTCATTGACTCTGTACATGATGATCCACATGTTCAAAATACTTCTTTTAAATGTATAATACGTATTCATTCTGTTCGAGATGATAAAGTTGTTTTGAAGTTTTTGTTATCTTATTTAATATCAAAATCCATGAATGTTCAATATGTTACAGATCAAATAGTTTGTCATCTTTCTCAATCATCTCTTATTCTATTTAAACAAGTTCAAACTATATTGAATGATCTTATGTTAGATCCTAGTTCAAATGAAGATCTATGATCAGTTAAAGAACAAGATGATCTCTGGGTAAATCCAGTAGTGTCAAACTTGAAACTTGAATTCAATTATTGAAAAGTTGTTTCAAAGTATTCCAGTATTCAATCATTACATTATTGCTTTTCGACCAGTCCCTTCGCCGCA